TCTTTCCCTTTGTCTCTCTCTTCTATCTGCCTCCATAGGGAGGTTAGTTTGCTCGAAATGACTGATGCCTTGTCATACAACATACCACCACTGGGGATGATTCAGTGCTTGAGTCTCCTAGGTAGTGATTTTAATATTGTAGTTCTTCAGACTGGCCTTGAAGGGGTCCTTGAATCTCTTCTTTGACCACCTTTAGAGTGGTGATCATCAGCGAATTGGGAGTACAAGTATTTATTTTGGGAGCCAGTTGTCAGGCACCCTTATGACATGATCTGTCCGCCAAAGCTGGTATAAACATGGCTTCTGTGCTAGTGGTGAGCCAGAATGCTGGCATTCATTCTTCTGTCCTTCCAGCTGATATGGAGGATTTTCTGAAGATACCACTGATGGTTACGTTAAAAAACATTCAGGTGTTTCCAATATGTCATCCAAATTTCACACCCATACTACAAAGTAGGGTTAACAGCCTGGCAGTCGAGAAGTCGGTTTGGGTCCTGGTGTCATAATCACTGAAGACACAATTTTGGAGATATCCAAAGGCAGCACTAGCAGATTTTATCTGATGTTGAATATCATTGTCTGTATTTACTTTTTGGAAAAAATGGCTACTCAGGTAGGGGAAATGCTCAACATTCGCAAGGATTGCTCTCTAATAATACTGTGAGGAGAAACAGCTGGTTGGTTTGGGATGGGTTGGTAAAGTATCTTGGTTTTCATGAAGTTGACAGAGAGTCCAATCATTTCTAAGACTTCACAGAAGCAAACAAAAATGAGCTGGAGCTCTTCAGTTGAGTGGGCACACACAACACGATCATCAGCATACTGAATATCAGTATAGGACGTGTTGACTATCTTGGACTTGGAATCTAACCTGTTGATGTTAGAAAGATTCCTGTCCATACAATAATGAATGCTGACTCTAGATTGAAGTCTATCAGCAATGAGAAGTGGAATAGCTGAGATATAGATGGGAAAGTGTTGATGCAATCTTACATCCTTGCTCAACTCCCATTCTAATAGTGAAAAAGTTCATTTCTGAGCCACTGCTTAGGACAGGTGCTGTCATTAAGTTGTCTGATAATGATAAAAAAATTGGCAGGCATCCAAATCTCATCAGGATCCTCCATAGGACCTCTCTGTAAATTTGATCAAAGACCTTAGTAAGGATGATGAAGGCCATGTAAAGATCTTGGTGTTCACAGCAGTTCTTCTGCCACTGTCTGGCAAGAAAAAGTGTATCTGCTGTACATCTGATGCTCTGAAACTATGTTGGAAGTTGAGTAGATTCTCCTCAGTAAGGCAAGTGAGTCTATTGATGAAAGAGTGAGAATCTTCTCAGGTATGGACAAGAGTGCAGTACCATGATAACTGCTGCAATCTGATCTATCTCCTTTCTTGAATATGGTAATAATTCTAACATCTCTCAAGTCACTGGGAATCTGTTCGTTTCCAGATTTTCATAATAACTATGTGTAGTTGATTTGCAAAATTACTTAAATTATTTGAAAAATAATTTGAAAAATTATTCAATAAGCAGGAAGGAATAATGTGGAGGTGTGATAGCGCCGTGCCACTCCAGCATTATAACTAGTCTAAGAGATCAGGTTGGAGCTTTTCTTACAACATATTGAGCTATTTTCAAAGTTCTTATGTAATTGTACACATATGGATGGCATAAAATACATCATAAAACTGGGACTTACTATCTAAGGGCTTCCTCCATAATTCACAAAGTCTCTGATAGCCGCACCATTCTAATGTGGTACATCTGGGACATCCCTCTGAGATCGATGCAGTTAGACTTGATGAGCATGGATTTCACAGAATCTACAAATAAATGATAAAACAAGTATGCATATTTTTGATAGCATATCTTCACTAATCTGGCTACTCAGTATATTCAGCACATACTGATCACTTTCCTGATCCTGGAAGCCATTTCTGCAAGCCATTTTTAATGAAGGGACCGGCATATTTTCATGGACTTCAGTACAGCTTTAATACTGAATACAATGGAATGCCAAAACCACACCTAATTTTAGGAATAAGGCCAAAGTACAAGTAAGGTGCATCCAGAAAATACTACTGCCTTGATAAAAATGTTTTTTATTTTGTATTGACTGACAAATACTGATCTATGCAACATGGCACATCTATAATCTGAATCTTTAGCATCAGATTCTGCTTCTTACAATCCCTACTAAAATATGTGGAAAGGGCCAGATAATAAGCAATTTGACCACATTGTTTAAAATTAAGGCTTGAACACTGAAGATGGATCTGTGCTTGTACAAAGCCCCAATATAGCAGCAAGGTCCATGAGGTAGCTGGTATAACCAAAGTACTTCAGACTCTCTCATCTTGCCACAGGCCCAAACCCACTTCAAAACCCTGCAGCTATTACAGAAAAACAAACAGTTCAAAATGTAGGGATTATACAGGCCGCCTATACTCCCCAGATGACAGAAGTCTTGGCCTTTGGCCTCTTGCCAGACAACACATTTAAAGCATGTGGTTATTCTGGGTTTGTTATTACTTAACATTATTGTGGCATTCTACATTCAGTGTTGCCAACGGCAGGGATTTTATGGTAAATCTTGCAATAATTGTTGCTTTTCTTGAAAGCCCAGATATTGGAGAAACTCTGCATGGAGCTATACTGAGAGTCATAGTGACAAAACTATCAGCTGTGTTGGACACTGCAACTTGTGGACTCTTTCCACCTGGATCTACCTGTGTTGACTCCTGGAATTCTGGGGTCTTTATATTGTCATTGTGTTTATTTATCCCTAATTCAGTTCAGTGTTTGAAATGGGAAGCAGACTGTCCTAAACAAACATTTATTATGACTATGAAATGTCATGGGTTCAGGTCAGGTCAGGTCAGGCCAGGTCAGTCCAGTGCTGGTATGTACTAGCTAGCCCCTTTTCTTGTTATGTACACTCACTTGTGTAGATATTTTAAAACATTTTCCAACAACCTTTTTTTAAGCAGATGGTGCTTCTTCCATTAACATCCTCATACTAAGCTAGGAAGCAAACAGAAGAGAGAAACACATGCTAAGGAGAGAGAAGCTACAATTTTTCTTTCTATTTATCTGTATCACCAGTGATGACAAGGGAAGAACAAAATATAACAATTGTCAGGCTATCCTAACAATTCTTTGTATGTATACTCATGTATTTGTTAGAAGCTGAAAAAAATTCTCTAAAAGTTTTACTGTTTTTTCTATTTTTTTTAAATTAGCAAACCTATGCTAGTTACTGCTGCTTGGAAAAATTGTTCCATAATTTATGTGTTTTTTTTCACAAGAATGGATAATATAGAACTGTTATCATACAGAAACCTCAGAAAATGCTTGTTGATAAGCTCTTAAGGGAATAAAATATTCTGGAACAACTATTTTGAAACAGGTCCTTGTGTGGAAGCTCTTATTCTACCTAACAGCATTTCTTCCAGGTTAGCTTAATCCATGCTCCTGAAAGACTCCTGGAATACTCTGGTATAACTCTGGGCCTTGAAATCACTCCTACATCATGCCAGGCTTGTGCGGAAAACTAAAAAGGAGGTGACCAAGGATGCTCTTGCAGATAAAGGAACTAATTTGATACTTTGGGGGTCTCCCATACTTTCTGGTATCTCCTTGGGCAAGTTATACAGCCATACTTTCATTAATGGTCACTGGGTTTTGAGTGTTTTGGTGACACACATACAGATACCTTAAAGAACAATTTAGGTATCCAAGTCCCCTCTCTCATACTCTCTAATTAGAGCTGGAGAATTTGAAACGTTTTCAGTATATTCATATTTTAGGTATTTTTGACAATGAATGGAACAAAGGTGTAGGATAACATGGTTTATTTCATTTAGTTGCTGATCCTGAACCTCCCATCCCTCGGTTCTTTCATAGTCCTATCAAACGTTTTTGTTTTGACTGAATGCTTCTTGTTACCATCACGTAAGCATGAACAAACCATGTTTGGAGTCAAATCGGAAAACTCCCAATACATTCTGGCAAACATCAGGGATGGTAGAAAGCTTCGCCTGCAATTGCACTGAAAAATGCAGGATGGAGAAATAACATCACTCTTGGAAAGGTGGCACGCTGCCAGGCCCCCTCACCTGCAGAGGCGGAGACGCAGAGCAACTGGTCAACAAGCAGCCCAGATCCTCTTGTACCACAGCCACCTCTCCAGCCAAGCAAGTGCCCCGCGCGGCAGATTTCAAAGGGAGCCTATTTGTCCATCCGATTCCCACGGGCAAGGCTCACCTGGCTACCTAGTCGCCCCCTTTTACCAGGGCTAATGGACGAATGAGACAGCTCATGAAAAAAACAGGATAGGTGTGTCGTGTGGGTCTAAGGCTCAAAACATGGGAACGAGCGTGGCGCAGGAGGGCACTGCGCAGGGCCCCGCACCCGTCCTCAAAGGCATCCAAGGAGCCGGTGGACGCCGCCTGCATCAAAGGGCGCGGGACAGCGCAGCATGGCCGCCGAGATCAACCACAAACGGTCACGAGAGAGCGGCCTTCTCAGCGGCCGCCCGCCCACACGCCTGGGAACCGACACTGCGCTGGCTGCAGCGGGGAGACGCAGGGGCGGGCGGCGCGCGCCGCTCCCCCACGGCCCCACCCAGGCGTCTGGCGGCCGTTCCTGCAGCACAAGGCACGGTTTACCTCAGGGGCGCTCAACCGTCCTCCTCGGCGGGCCTTGCCCGGTCTGTCCCCGCGCCGGATGAGGCCCGTGGGGCGGTGCCAGGGATCCCGCACGGCCCCGGCGGGGCGGGATGAGGCGGGGCGGGTGGGATCGGGCAGGGGGAGC